AAAACGCACAATTTTTCTTGATATTCATGGTGAGGAACGTTTTTCTGACAAGGAATGATAGTTTATTTGTGATTTTCATTCGTAGATCACCATGGATAAGCGGGAAAAGTTGAAGGAAAAATCTCGGGAATGAACTTTCCCATTGAAAACATATGGGGAAAAGACAAAAAACTTAAAATGACTTTTCTTGAGAAATACTCAAAATACTCCTAGATGTTAACATTTTCTTATTCCTTATGTATCCTACTTTGATCGTGCCAAAGGGTTTTCCTATGTTGCTGCTAATATCTTTGTAATAAGAAGTTAAAGTTTGGGTATTTGACGTTGTATTTACATTGCTAACATAGGGCTGATTCGAGGTTGCCAACTTTAGATGGACTTTTCTCGAGAAATACGCAAAATACTCATGGACATTAACATTTTCTTATTCCTTAGATATCATACTTTGACCGTGCCAAAGGATTTTCCTATGTTGCTGCTAATAATTTTTTTATAAGAACTTTAAATTTGAGTAATAAGTGCATACGTGGATTTTACATGGGTAGCATAGGGCTTATTCGAGGTTGCCAACTTCAAATAGACTTTTCTCGAGAAATACGCAAAATATCCTGAGATATTAGCATTTTCTTATTCCTTATATGTCCTAGAATGACTCTACCAAAGGATTTTTCTATGTTACTGCTACTTTCTTTGTTATTTGAAGTTAAGTGTTATGTTTTCAACCTAAAATGCATCAATTTTTGAAGGCGGCAACATAGTATGGGTTTTCCCATGCGGGAATTCCCAAATCCCACTGGACAGCATTCATGGTAAGCAAAACAAAACAAAACAAAACAAAACAAATCTTGTGTTTTGTCAGTCTCGCTTATCACTAGATTAGATACAATCGTATTTAGCCAATTTAGCTCAAATCATGTGCATGTGCCGAAGTAAATTCGCTCAGATTTAGCGAGAAAATTGTGATCCATTTCGTTCAGTTAACCGGAAGTGAAACATAGAATAGCTAGCTCTAGAAATGTGTCTTGGGTACAAATAAGTACTTGGAGATTCGTGGGTTTCGTTGTTCATTCTTAACCATGGTAACAAATATTTACACCTTCTTATTTCAAATGTATAAAGCTTCCACAAAAAGTGCGGATTTCTACCTTTACCCGGCAGAATGTATGATTTTCAATGTTCTCACTCTCAGTGAATTGAATGACCTTATATGTATCTCAGGCCCCAAACGTTTTCCTCCCGTAATTGAATGAAGTAAGGTTTCTCTATTGTTCAGGTAAAGTCTGCCTTTACAATTTACCTCCTTTCAGCGAGTGGAATTTCTTGCTTAGTGAGTATTGACTGTCACGCTGAGGTCAGATAGTGCGGGACGTTAACAGTATAACCTCTAATTCTCATGAAAGCAAGATACATTGCTCAATTCAATAGTAGATGTAAAATTATTTAAACAAATGGCATGATCACATCTTGTGCTTCAGCTTTGTTTAAAAATTTAGCAGTGATAATTCATCTGTACCTACTTATCGTCACATTAAATACTGTGCGCGTTAATCCAGTCATGTTCGGTGCTTACCATCCTATACAGTTCTTAATCGTTCCTTAGCTTTTGAAGCTCATAAAAGGCTGTGCTCCTGCTCTTTGAATGGGAGAATCAGTGGTGTTTTCAATCATTATGAGAATGAGTGAAATACTCCTGAATGTGGTGTGTGACTAAATACTTACTCTTGAGTATTTTTCCTTCTGGTTTGTCCTCAGGACACTTGCGTGGTGAGTTTCATTTTCTTTCTACTCAATAGAAAATTTATTTCCTCCTTTATATTTGAGCAAATCAGGGCCTGCATTTTGTTTCATTCAGGACCCTTAATTAGAAAGTTAGGTGTTAAAAGGCTTAGTTTCCAATTACTGCATTCTTAAAATTACAATTATTTCCTGCATTTTCGTATCATGATGCCAACCATCATCAGTCTAGTCATGAATATATTCTCCTTGATGATTTGAGAGGGATTCTGTTATAATATGTCATGCCAAGATTTTACCTGTATCATGTTAAAACTCATTTGCGCTGCAGCACCAACCCTATGATGTCATAATTTCTCATGTAGAATCAGCATTGCCCATAGCGCAGAATGCTTAAGCGCATGCGCAGAGGTTAAGAAAGTGCCTCCACGATGCTAAATCAATAATTAATGGATTTAATTACCTACTCCTGCCACTGACTATACTTTGGTGTCAAATTAAGGGAAATATATTTCAGGCTGTTATTTTAGGCTGCATTCATTTGGCCAAAAACAACCGTTTTGGGAGACGGCATGTGTGCAGGTCACTTGGTTAGCAGTGTTCCTCATACAAGTCAGTGATAATTAGTGTGCTTTTGATTCATTATAATGAATCATGCAGGTATGTGTATTTAGAAATCTGTAGAGGAACCAACTGTGACATTGCTCATTCTATGATAAAGATCAAGAAGGTATCTTTGGTGCATGGAATTATTATCCCTACAAAAATACAAAAAAATATTTAGTTATTTTTCAACCAACTTCAGTTTTCCTCATGAAGAATGAACAAATCGAAATCTTGTGGCTCATAATACTTACCTTATCCGTTTTATTCAAATTTTTCGTTAATGAGATTTTTTTTTTTTTTTTTTTTACTACCATACTGCTTTTAAAGCCATAACTTAAGTCCCAGAGAATTTTGGGTTGTAGAATTGGATTCTACAGAAGAAATTACAAAAGCATTGATACCTCAAGGACCTGTATCCGTACAATTCAAATTTTGTATTTTTGAGAGGATCATTTTGAGGTTTTTTGGCATCCATCTTGTATTTGAAGCCAAAATTTCAGTCCTAGAGAATTTTAGTTTGCAAAATTGGATTCTATGGGAGAAATTACATACGAATTGATACCTCAAGGACCTGCATCCGTAGAATTCAAATTTTGCATTATTAAGAGGATCACCTTTAGCTTATTTGGCAGCCATCTTACTTTGGAGCCAAAATTTCAGTCTTAGAGAATTTTTGGCTTCAGAATCGGATTTTACGGGAGAATTTACAAAAGAATTAATACCTAAAAGACCTACATCCGAACAATTCAAATTTTGTATTATTGAGAGGATTATTTTGAGGTTTTTCGGCAGCCATCTTGTTTTGGAAGCCAAAATTTCAGTTCTAGGGAATTTTAGGTTGTAGAATTGGATTCTACGGGAAAAATTACGTAGGAATTGACACCTCAAAGACCTGCATCCGTACAATTCAAATTTTGCATTATTGAGAGGATCATTTTTAGGTTTTTTCGGCAGCCATCTTGTTTTTGAGGCCAAAATTCCAATCATAGAGAATTTTTGGCTTCAGAATCGGATTCTACGGCAAAAATTACTTCAGAATCAGCATTTTTTTGGGCCAATAATCCTTTTTTCATCGTTGTAACGATTTTTGTCCACATCGTCCATAAGCATGCCGCACTGTGCGTCGCCGCGCGCAGTTTAAAATAGCCGATTTTCCTGACCTTCGCTCCTTTCCGCTCTTATATCTCGCGATCAAAACATTTCCCCATCATGTGGTAAAGAGCTAGAGGGGCTACAGAGAGTCAGGAACCACTTATCAGTTTTTGATCATAATAGAAAAATGGCTTTTTTGTAAATCGGCCCTAACGTGAAAAAATAAGGTGTCTTTTTTGAGCGTTCCGGCGCTTCAGAGGTGATAACTCGAGCTGATGTTGACAAAACCCTATGATGTCATACATTTTCTGAAAGCTCTCGTCACGCTGAATACGCTCGTTTAAACCGCGTTTTCCAATACTCCTTGGTTTTCGAGTGAAAAATTCGCGAAAATCTTGCCGGTTTTTAACTTTGACCCCCCCCCCCGCCGCGTCACCCCAAAATTTTTGGGAGGCTTGAAACTTTGGGAAAAGATGGGGCATTGTTGGGTGAATGAATAGGGCAAGTCTCAAAGGTATCCGCCCCGAGCCCCAAACGGCCCGTTTTGCACGTAGTCCTTTCTGTTAATTATTTAACAGTACTTACCACTGGTAATTTGCCAATTTTAGCCCCAGAATATCTTTAAATCAACTTTATCTACCAGGAGCTCAACAGAATTTTTTTTTCCTTTTCAGATTAAATAACTTAGTAGACACTATTAAATTATGTTCTTTTTCTTGAAAAGTACCCTAAAGTGACTATTTTAACAAGAAATTTCGAAGTCATGGCAACATTTTACAGGGTGAGGGGAAGAAGTAAGACGGAAAAACGCAATTTTCCAAATTTTGAAGTGGCCAGTCAGAAACTTAGTGGCCGCTGCAGCATCACTTAGGATGATTCTGATCCAGCTAAAAAAATTTCTGGCTCATTTCACACCAAAAGACAACTTTTTACGGGGTCAGACATTTGATTTCCGAAAAGTCAAAAATAAGGAACACCCTGAAGGTCATAAAATGGTTTCTTCGACAGTTCTTTGATCAAAGTAGTATTTTGGGAAATCGATATAAATCATTGATCCAAGGTTTGTAAAGGAAATAATGATAAGTATTGTGACGTTGACGGACATCAATCATGAAGTTTTTGGAGGACAATATCTCATGTATAGAAATTTAATATTTTTGCAAACAGAATTATTTATTGCTTATCTGCAGAGAGAAACATATGGAGAAAATTTAGGTGTTGATGGCAAGCTAGGATTTGGCATTTTATGGGGAAAGTTTACTAGGCATAAAAAGAAGATTTTCTACTTTTAGGAGTCAGCTACAACAAAGAGAGCCAAAATTACAGTTCTTCACCTTCAAACAGGGTGCCACACTGCAGAAAAACATGGTAAAACTCGCTGGGTTGTTGACTCCAGACGAAAATTTGGAAAAAACCTGACCGAGCGTCGACAGGGGTGGTGTAAGAAAGGACCCTGACACGCATTATCTAATCGGCAAATAATCGAGAAAGATAAAACGAGGGTCTTGAACCATCATTGATGGAACATTTCACAGTATCCCAAAGATTAGTACATAAAACTGTGATACCTTTAGTTAGATTGTCTCTGGGCCCGTACAATGTTACACTGCCATCAGTGTCTCCTTCATGGGGCATTTCAACGGAGACTTTACATTCTCGAAGAATCTCATTGAGCCCGCTATCCTTGTGACCGGCGACGTAACGGTGCTGCTCAACTGGTACTTGTACCTTCATTGTTTTGCACGTTTTATTCTGTGGAAGGGAAAAACCGAATATAAAAGATTGAACATGAATAAGTACACAGGGTGTTCCAAAAGTCCAGCCCCCCCCCCTCTAACTTTAGAACGGTTCGAGATAGAAAAATGAAACTTTGGGAATGTTCCTATCTCAAAGGGGACCATCTTTGGAGAGGGTCAAAATGTTGGTCCCCCCTGGGGGGGGGGGGGGGCAACATTTTTTTTTTCAAACGACAACTCCTATCTTGCAATACCTCATTCAAAAAAGCATAGAAAACTAAGAATTTTGGCGCAAACCGCAGATCAATATCTTAATTTTTGACCGAGTTATAATAGGTCAAAGGTCAAATTTGCCCTATTTTCAAAAACTCATGACTTCGGTTTACATTATCGTAAAGAAAAAAATAAAACGGGAAAAATTACCAGATTGTGATCGCTTTTAGGTAAAAATTAGTGAAATCACTCCGAATTAATTTTAAGGGGGGGTTCGGGCCCCCAAATTACGTCAATTCAAAGGTCATTCAATTTTCCCGCGAAGTAAGACAATTTCCCCTAGATCTGCCTCCACATTATCTCAGTAAGGTCAGAACCAGTTCAACATTACGTTGGCAAGTCCTCATATTTCGGGAAAAGTTAAAAAAAACGAAAGTTAAGGTGATTAAATTTGACCGTTAAAAATTTGTATTTTTCTTAACTTTTCCCGAGATTTGGGGACTTGCCAACGTAATGTTGAACTGATTTTGACCTTACTGAGATAATGTGGAGGCAAATCTAGGGGAAATTGGCTTACATCGCGGGAAAATTGAATGACCTTCGAATTAACGTATTTGGGGGTCCGAATCCCCCCTTAAAATTACTTCGAAGTGATTTCACCAATTTTTACTCAAAAGCTATCACAATTTGGTAATTTTCCTCGTTTTATTTTTTCTTTACGATACTTTGAACCGGAGTTATGATTTTTTGAAAATAGGTCAAAGACCTTGGACCTATCATAACTCGGCCAAAAATTAAGACATTGATCTGCGGTTTGCACCGAAGTTCTTAATTTTTTATGCTCTTTCGAACAAAGTATCCCAGGATAGGGGTTGCCATTTGAATAAAAAAGTTGGGGGGTCAGCATTTTGAACCTCCCCTCAAAGATGGTCCCCTTTGAGATGGGAACATTCTCAAAGTTTCATTTTTCTATCTTGAACCGTTCAAAAGTTAGAGGGGGGTGGGGGGGCTGGACTTTTGGAACACCCTGTATACAAGTAAAAGTGGAATGGGGAGTTATTGCATTCAAACTTGTAGGCATACACTAGGCATATACATAGGCAACACTGCCTGGATAAGTCAACAAGCCCTTTAATTAATTGTGTATTTTGATAACTCAACATGGTTTTTTAATTGACACAGTAATTCATTATCAATTCATTTCTAGTTGTGCTATGTGCAGGTTAATCAACTTTTAACAATACATGCTATTAGTGCCACGTAACAGTCGGTGCCGACTGTATCAAACTGGATCCAAATAATCAAACATAACCTTACTATTCAATATCAAACGTGATAATTTCAGAGATAATTCGCGCAGTTTGAAAAAAAAAGTTGTGTAAGAGACGGTTTTTTCATTCACGGAACGTTTCAGTATAAATAAGTTGACGGGATGAAGCAGTTTCAGAAAGTAGAAAATGCCTACTAGAGTCACCATGATTTAGGCCACTCCTATGCAACTCTAATTTCCTGTCTTTTGACCAGGGGTCGAGAGGGTTCTCAGGAGCGAAAGCCGATTTTCAGGATTTTATTGGCATCGGCTCCTCGCTCGCGAGTAGGGAGGCCTTTGTTTCGAATGCCCTCTTCGTTCGCAAACCCAAACCCTTTGTCCGGCGCCCGCTCCGAGTTCCCGATACCTGAGGCATATTCCGGTCAAAGCGATACCTATCCCAGAACCCGATCGATTAACCATACAATTCGATCGCGTTCGAAGAGGCGATGACAATGACGCTCGTATTCATATCCCATCTTAGGATGCAATTGAAGAACGCCAGTTTATTCCCTCCTGATTCCCTCTCAGTGGTCGCCAGGTCGGGCGCCGCGCCGGGCTGCGCGTCCTGCTTAAAGGTCCACATTGAGTCATCCTCCTCGTCCATCCATCAGTTCTTTTGCTTCCTTCGGGCTGCACCAGGTCGTCTGAATGCACTGCCAGCCGAGCACAGTTCGTTGACACGCAAGTAAGATGAGAGTGAAAACAACACGAAACACCCCAGACGGTGAGTTTTTCGTCTTGTCATTTTCTTGACATGTCTCCTCGGTCACCAATCATGTCCGTTAATTGTCCACTCAAGCCGAGGCAATTTCTCCTTATGAAATATTGTTAGCACACCTTTTTATTAATTTTTCTTAACCCCCCCGGCCTCCTCTAGGTTTTGCCTGATTCTCCACCCTTTTCCCCCAATATCAATGTTAAACGCATCGGACTACGAACTATGATATTCATGTTCTTAAAGTTGAACGCAACTATGCAATTCGAATAAGTCAGAAACTCACTTCAAAATTCCGTCCTTGCAGAGTATCAAAACAGGTTTTATCCACCGGTTGTTCATAGTTTTCATTGTTTTTTCCCCCTTTTTTATTACCTACTTTTCTTTTAATCTGTAATTCATTCATTTACTGCTATTTTAACTGAGTATTTTATAATATTTGTTGCATTTCATTTATTCCTTTTTATTTTACAATCCTACAAATGGGGAACGGGAGGACAGGGCTAACGATTAGGCGAAAGTCACCAATATCAACCCCCCCCCCCCAAAAAAAAAAAAAAAAAAAAAAAACAAAAGGACCCCGGTTATAGGCAAGAAATCAATTTTCTCTTTATTACTTCACCTTGTATTTAGGGAATTGGGCATCAAATTTCATACCTCCAGCAATTATTATACCTCATGTCAATTTCAGTACTTAAGCGCTTGGATTTCACTTTCCAGAATATGTAATCGAAAGCCCTAAGTGAAGCCTCTAAACTTAGGGGCTATAAAGGTTGTTCAGATATTTTGAATAAACTGGAACACTTCTGGTGACGAGACATTCATTCCGGTGGCAATGAAAGGACACAATTTTTGAGTTACTGATTGGTTCCACAAGCGCTAACCATTAGAAGGTAAACTCCTTGCCAGTAAATTCATTAAATCTCTATGGAAAGTATGATGGTGGAAAATCTATGGAGACTTAATTTTCTGTTCAAAATGACCACAGAGGCCTTGAACATAGCAACTTTGGAGTGATCTTTCCTTCCCTCCTAATTCTCTGATTAATGACTGTGGTAAAGGACGTTTCCAAATTTTTTAATTCATTAATGTCACTTCTTTTCAGAGAAAACTGGTCATTTCCTTATGAAAACGTGGGGCATAGTTTCATTGTAACTCTTGAATTAATGAAAATGTACTAACTGAGTCGCATGACACAAATTAGGTATCGGGGCTAACGTGACAGCTTTGTCGCCCAGAGCGGTCTTGCAATCGAAGTCTGATGAAAAATTTGTATAATTATGAGTAGGTATATTGAAAAAGTATAGTATCGCAAAACTCGCGAATGTCTTTAGCTCTTTTAAAATACTTTCTATCACATTCGTCCAATTTTTTAATCAGTAACTTACCGGTATACCTACTTATAATTATATATATATTTTTCAGGGAGATCAGAGAGTACTTTCCCTCCAATTTTTCTGAGAATTTTATTCGCTGTCAGCTATTAATCATCTAAAAATTTCGAGAGATAATATTCACAATTTTGCTTGAAAATAAGACATTTACTTGGAGGAAATTTGGCAACTCTCGAATGATCATACGGCGTTTTTACCCAGTTTCGTCGATGTGCTGGCTCGACCTCGCAGCGTCGACATTTACATGGTCCATGCGTTTATTCGCCCGATTTTTCACGGATCATCCTTCGTGGGCCCCACTATACTTCCTTAAAATTATTCAAAACTTAAGATCAAATTGCTCATAAAATTCTCTGAAAAATCGGTAGAAAAATATAGTTGAATTCTCACGATAATCCGTGGGTCATCAAAGGCAAGGCAACGTCTGATGGTTCATACGGCATTCCTCTGTAGCACGGCAAAATGGGCGATTACATAAGGTGCGAATTTCAGCATTCCGAGAGGGATGCGTTTTCCTCTTCAAAATTTCATGTATGCTACAATTCGTGCGATGAAAATTACTGATAGTAAGTCCTGACCAAGGCTTAAAGTTCTTCAATGCATAAATGCAAACTTTTCGCTCATAGAAAACACGATGATCTACTCCAGTTAATTTGCACAGGAAACGTTATCGCCAGTCATTGCAGTAAGAAATAATGACAATCTTAATATCTATGCTTCAGCTCAGGTATTGTACTCAACACTTTGAATAAATTTTGGGTGGGGAGAGGACATTGCTCATTGCGAAGCCTCTGAAGATTTTGATTCAAATAGCTTCTTGTTAAATTCCTATGAGCATGATATTCAAACGCAACGAAAGCAAATGTGCAACAACATGCCCCTACTGAACTTGATATTCTCAATTTTAATATTAGGAGTATGAATGATAAAAATCGTCTACTTCATGTTGAGCTTCAGAAATTCTGCAGAATGCCAGATTTCCGTTGCATCACTGAACACTGGGTTGACAAAGGTGTGGACTGCCCTATTGTAAGCTATAAATGTGCTGCTAGATGTAATAGGGTAGATCAGAGAGGTGGCGGATCTGCTGTGTTTATTCATTCTCCCTTTCCAGGTATCTCTGTCAATTTTAGAAATGTTCCAGAAATTACTGATCTGTCTTAGAAATCTGTTTTTGAAATCAGGGCAACCCGCACATTACAAATTAGAAATCACTTACTCAGTAAACCATTATTTGTTATCTCTATCTACCGTCAGCCGAAGGAGAACCTTTTTCAACTCAAGCTTGACCAACTACTTATATACCTGATGTATTAAGAAGCTAACTATAGCATATTGTAAGTATATCATCTGTGAAGACTTTAACTTTGATCTTTTTGATA